AAATTCTTAAACTTTACAATTTAGCCACTAACCCCTAGTTTGGGATGTTACATAATTATAAAACTGATTTTGTATATTAATAATTTTATACAGCGTATAATAAATTTTTTCCTTGAATAGGTGGTCTACTGATAGGAAAAATCATCAGGAGCTACATGATGATTTAGAAAAGATTAGGGTGCTAATCGATCAGAAGACTGGCACACAGGTATGAATTTTAATGTTTAAAAATCAATTTTAGATTATAGTTATATAATTAGATTATTATTTTGATAAAAATTATATATTATTTGTTTTAGTTTGAATGGGTGCCATATTCTACTGATGATGTGAGGGCGGTGATCCCACCTGAGTTGAGGGGTCCATTAGATGTTTGGATGGTGATGGTTCCTCTGATCTGTTATGCGACCGTCGAGTGGCACTCCACTGATCGCGTGCTCCGGCAGTTTGGTTGTTTTCAACCAATTCCGGAAGCACCTCGCAATATGGACGAGTTGCATAGCTTAGACAGACGCGGCAAGACAGATACATATTGGCTTGTTAGGCATCATGGGTGGGTCGTGTTGTGGGAGGATCGACATCGGCGCCTTCCCCGTAGAGAGCTCATTTTTGATGACCTCTTGATGTATGATGAGGATTATTATGAGTGGTTCAACAGTAATGGGAAACGGTTTCTACTTCCCGAGGATGCACGAGGGCAGACCTTTCCACGACGTCGACAGAGACGTTCATCGACACAGCACCATCATCCCCTGACTCGTGGACGGAGAGCAGGTGCATCCGGTTCATCCTCAGCTGCACCAGCAGGACCTTCCCAGCAGCCATCGCAGCCATATATGATGCTGCAGCCATATATGATGTCGTCATCGCCTTTTCATTACCAGATGTCACCGTCGCCGCCTTCACCCGGTTTTATGACCCCGTAACCGCCACCGTCACAGATGACCCCTCCTGGAGGATATTATGGGTCTATGTTTGTAGACCCAATTTGGGGTTCATATGCTGGATATTTGGCAGGTTCAGCCTCATCATCCATGACCGCAGCACAGATACCGCGTCCTGTACAATTTTTACACTCAGCGATTGCCATCTTTGACAACTGCCATCAATAAAACTTGCTTGTATTTTCCATACAAGAAAGTCCTGTCGATCTGGACAACAGGCTTGCAGTATTTGACAGCATTAACGCAGTGTGGGTAACTCCAAAAAACCCGGTAGGATTGGCATCGATCGCGAAGAACTCGATCATTATGGTATGCATAGGAGGTTTCGAAGTCCACAATTATCCCAGGATTCAACGTTCGCACCAGCCTAAACCAACCTGGAAGTTCGTTGTAAGATGCATCCCATTCGCCATGAAGTTTGAAAATGGCATTTTGTTTTGCCAACCAAGCTTTTTTATAGGAGACAATGTACCCATACTGCGATTGTATAGCTGAAATCAACACTGCAACAGCTATATGAGAGCTTGCTTTGACCATGGGCATGATGGCTTGGCATATCACTTCAGAGTCCAAGTTGGGATGATCTTGGTTGACCCCTTCGATACGCGAACCATCCAATTGCATCCGTTTTCGCACTGGGCACAATAGCATACATATTTTTCGGTCGTGGAGCGGTCTACTCTGGACTGAACAGAATTACGGATATTGTAATTTTTGATAGCCATCATCGTTTCTTCTTTGCTTGAAAACTCCATGCCTAAAGATAACTCACCATTATTTATTGATGAGTAATACCCATAGTCACCGAGATGAGGCATATCTGCAAATTCTGGCCCGTACATTGCACCATAATCAGCTTCATACATGTGTCCAGGAGGGTCAGTTTGTGCCACATTTCCTGGAACTTCATCATCATCGGAGTTGAATTGCGGTGATTCTGGGTCAATGAATAGTCCAGTCTCAGCACCATCCGCACCAGGCTCACGAAGCGGTTCTTCTGGTGGAGATGATGGTTCCTCCATGCTCTCCACATTTAGGTCGAAGAACCTACTACTTGCACGCCTTCCCCTTGAACTGGAAGGCATATCGACATTGAGATCGAAAAAGCTCGCAGTTGAATGCCTTCCCCTAGAGCTTGAAGCCATCGCGTCAAATGGAAACTGCACAGATGGTTGCATCGATGGCATCTCCATATTAAGGTCAAAGGGATTTACAGATGAATGCCTTCCCCTTGAACTGGACGCGATATTGCCATACGGATTGTTCGTCGACCTACCTCGGTACATATCGTAAGGAGTTGCGGATGAATGTCTCTCCATTATGGCATTAAAAGCATTACACATTACTGTCATCGGGCTGTCAACTTGATCAACTTGTTCAGTCAGCCCATAGTGGGAGCTTAATGATTGACCCCAAACAGCACGCACTTGAACAAAATGTACATACATCTCAATAGCTTGAAGCCATCGCGTCAAATGGAAACTGCACAGATTGTTGCATTGATGGCATCTCCATATTAAGGTCAAAGGGATTTGCAGATGAATTCCTTCCCCTTGAACTGGACGCGATATTGCCATACGGATTGTTCGTCGACCTACCTCGGTACATATCGTAAGGAGTTGCGGATGAATGTCTCTCCATTATGGCATTAAAAGCATTACACATTACTGTCATCGGGCTGTCAACTTGATCAACTTGTTCAGTCAGCCCATAGTGGGAGCTTAATGATTGACCCCAAACAGCACGCACTTGAACAAAATGTACATACATCTCAATAGCGGCGTCTGAATAATTACTTTGAGCTTCAACCATCATTTCAACATCATCATTGTTCGATAGTTTGAACGATGTATAAGTTAATGGCAACAATGATGTTGGAAATCTATACTGCAACGACGACACTCTTCTACTACTTCCAACATGAATCTTCCTCGAAATCTTCGTTATCAGCTCCTCAAAAGTTATGTTTCTCTTGAATGATATTTTAAGACGCTCATTTGATACGAAAACAACGCCGGTTTCATTTTCTCGAATTTCACCATCATAATAAACAATAGCTGAAAGTCGCGCCATTATTTGAGTTTAAAAGTGCGACACTATTATATCTGCAAAAATAAATAAATGAAACAAACCTGATTTAATAAATTATATATGAACGAACATATAACACAATAAATTTTTTACACATCAACGTAAATAAATTAAATAATATAATTTAATATTATTACATGCACCGCAAAATTATTTCGACGTATGCTCCCGCTTTCCAATTTTACAAACACAAAAATTAATTCAAAAATAATTAGTATAATATTTTTTTCAAATAATCATAATAAACAATAAATATAATAAAAAATTATAACAAAATTACCTTATAACGAAAAATCGCACGAACTTCTAAATAAAATATGAGAAGATTGCCAGAATTATTGTATTAATTTATAAGTTGAGAGGAGAGATGTGAGAAATTAACCGGCGGAGAATGGTATTTATAGCGAGAAAAGTTATACTAAACGCGGTACCTGCCCCTCGCTATATAAAATTATGTCAGGAATAAAGGTATGTCGCGGTACCTGCCTCGCGCTATATAAAATTATACAGTAAAGGTACAGCGCGGTACCTAATCCGCGCTATACCCCTACGTTGCGTATAGCGCGCTGCAGGGGCAACGCTATACCCACGTGGCATCAGCTCACTGTATAGCGCGATGCAGGAGGCACGCTATACCCCACGTGGCGCCAAATTATCGTATAGCGCAGTGCAAGGACGCGTTTTACTGCTAAGAGTGTTAGATCAAAAGATATAATCTGACCGATGTTAAATCAATAATATTACCGATCATCGGTAATATATCGTGAAAATCGCAAAAAAAAAAGTGATTATTTATGTGGTTTACTCCATATGTCTTAGGTTGCAGCAATGAAGTGACGGGGAAGGTGCCAAAAAGTGATGCGGTGAGCAATGACACACTTTGAACCAATTAAAGTATTGTCAGATTGAAGACAGTGAGACAGGGGCCGAACAATAATGGCTGATTATAATTTAGGACCACCCAGTCCAAATCACATCAGTCACGACAATGACCAAACCTCTGGCTCTAATCAACATCTTTGCAGCCCCTTCAGAACCTCAAAATTACGATGAGACCAGTCACCACGTCGCTCCACACACTTTCAAATCAAACTAAACGATGAATCTTTAAATAAATATTAAAAAAAAAGTATAAAATGATCTTCAATGTTTAATATTATTTTATTAAGTTTATTTGTTATTAAAAAAAGTTATAAAATATCATTTAACTATTAATATAATAAAATTTTATCTTTTTCTTATTAAAAAATTAATGATAATCTAGCTTAGTGATTTTATCTGTTATACTAAAATATAGATTTTTAATATCAGATTTTATCATATGATAATAAATAAGTTAGCAGTCAACTCAGGTTCCCGTCAATTTTTAATAGAAAATAACGAGTTTGAAACATATAAATAGATTATATTTTATAATTTTATTAAAAAATATTTTATATTCCATACTATAATTAATATATTTTTCACAAAATAATTTTAATTAATTTTAACTATATGTTAATTCAAATATTATTTATTTTTTTCTTCATAATTCTCTAGTTTGGTGTTGTGATATGATATTGGATTTTATACCCAAGAGACTCAAGTTGATTCTCTACCGTTTTAATTCGTATTTTCTTTTGGTTTTTTACTCTCTCACTAATCATTAAAAGATATTAATTTCTTAATTATTTTCTCTAATAAAATAATTTATCATTTTATTAAAAATATTAATTTATGAAATAAAATGACCTGTCAGTTGTCTTAATGCATCGTGTCAAAATATTGGGATAACGATTGAGTTATCATTTTGTTTATAAAATGATGATTTTAGTGACCGTAATATAAAATATCCAACTTAAATAGTGAAGACATAAATTCATCCAAACTTTAACGGCCGTTGATTTAGTTTACCCTAAATGCAAATCGTTACGTAAAATGTATGCCGTTACGTGCTTTATATATACACACATTTGCGTCGTAGAATCCACTCAGAAGCTATCCGATAATATGTCGAGCAATGGTGTATTAAAGGAAGCAAAGGTTCCTCTGATCGGAGATTTATCACCGGCGGTTCGACTCGAAGCCGAAAAAGATGAGAATCAAGCTATTACGAAAAGGGTATGGGTTGAATCAAAGAAGCTATGGCAGATTGTCGGTCCAGCAATTTTCAGCCGCCTTGCTTCTTACTCCATGCTGGTTATCACTCAAGCTTTTGCAGGTCATCTCGGTGATCTCGAGCTTGCCGCCATTTCCATTGCAAATAATGTCGTCGTCGGATTTGACTTTGGCCTCTTGGTACAGACATAATTTCTCTTGTCTTTTTTCTTATAGAACCGCTAAAACTTTGTCTGAATCCGAGTGTTTTGTTGTTGCCGTTAGTTGGGGATGGCGAGTGCTTTGGAGACGCTATGCGGGCAAGCGTTTGGGGCAAAGAAGTTCTACATGTTGGGAGTATACATGCAGCGTTCATGGATCGTTCTTTTCCTGTGTTGCGTGTTGCTTTTGCCGTTGTATCTCTTTGCTTCGCCGGTGCTGAAGCTGCTGGGGCAGCCGGAAGACGTGGCGGAGCTTTCGGGGGTGGTGTCTATGTGGATGTTACCGCTTCATTTCAGCTTCGCGTTTCAGTTCCCGCTGCAACGATTCCTGCAGAGCCAGCTTAAAAACATGGTGATTGCGTGGGTTTCGCTGGTGGCTCTACTGGTCCATGTGTTCGTCAGTTGGTTGTTTGTGTATAGGTTTCAGCTTGGTGTGGTCGGAACCGCCGTGACATTGAATTTTTCTTGGTGGGTTTTGGTGGTCGGACTGTTTGCTTACACCGTGTGCGGTGGCTGTCCTCTTACTTGGACTGGTTTCACCGTGGAGGCGTTTTCTGGCCTCTGGGAATTCGTCAAACTCTCCGCCGCTTCTGGGGTTATGCTCTGGTATTCACCACCTGTACACATTCAATTCAATGTTTTTTTTTCTCCCTTTGGAATTTGAATCGTATAATTAAGTCCCTTTTTTGTTGGAAATCTACAGCTTGGAGAATTGGTACTATAGGGTATTGATTTTGATGACTGGAAATCTGAAAAACGCCGAGATTGCCGTTGATGCTTTGTCTATATGGTATGAATCTAGAATGTATAAATGTACATGGTAATTATTTGGATAAAGTACATAAATGATATTCGATTATAGGGTACTATTTTATCGACTCCTTCGATTATCAAAAGTTACAAAATGATCCTTTCACTATAGGACATTGTTTTGTTGAATTTGATGGGATCTGAGTTGGATGTTACCATGATGCCTTAGATATGATGGTCGTTTGAGATTCTGAGATCATATTTTATTATATCTCAGTCAATAGTTTAATGCCCAGTTCAAACTATCATCAATTCTTTTAACAAAGAACGACGAGTTTGAAACATATGAACAATCAAATGATCGTCTTGTAACTTTTAATAGTTGAAAAATTTAACAAAATAATGACTTATATTTAAAGAATTATTTTATAATTTTTAATATTCGAATTTTTTTTTTGATGAATTGTCAAAAATGGGATTTGTAACTGTTGGAACAATTTTTGGCAGCATGTCGATTAATGGATGGGAACTGATGATACCTTTCGCTTTCTTTGCTGGAACCGGGTAATGCTCTTAACTCTCATTTTTGCGGCCACTTATTTTCTTCCATCATTTAGCACATATTTGTCCTTTTTTGGTTGTCAATTTGCAAACACTAAAAGCAAATAGTATAATTCTATTTTAGCTACCCAAGAAGTGCCGTATCAAAATGCTATACTTCATCCTCTATTTTAAGTAAGAATTTTTATTGAAAAATAACTCTTATATAATGAATTTAATTCTACAAATAGAGTTTATGTTTTAACCTTTAAAGTAATATAAGAGAATTATTTTGGATAGATGCAATTCTTTTGAGATCACTGTAGCTTTTAGGGTTTGTGTTATAGAGATAATTTTGTAGGAACGTTGGAAGAATATATGGGGATATATTGAGTTTCAGTATTTATACTGGACTTTGAGTTACATGTGATATCATATATTTTTATTTTTCATGTTCTTTATATTTATAGTGACTTTTTGTTCATCTTATTTGTAGAAGTAGACAAGATCGAACCACGTTAAATATTATCTTTTTGGTCATATCTTATTTTATGTTGCTATAATTTTACTTTTTTTTTTGGCTCTCAAATTATTAAGGAACGTTAACAACAACACTTGGTAGGATTTGGAGGCATTTCTCTTAGTAAGAAAAGAGGAAGAGAAATTAAACTAAATTAGTCTATATTTTAATATGTGATGCATGCATGCATGCAGAGTGAGGGTGGCAAATGAGCTTGGTGCTGGGAATGGGAAAGGAGCAAAGTTGGCAACCACAGTATCAGTGGTGACATCAGTTATAATCGGAATCTTCTTCTGGTTGTTAATTATGATCTTTCATGATAGCATTGCTCTCATATTCTCCACAAGCCAACCTGTTCTTCAAGCAGTCAGCAGGCTCTCTTTTCTCTTGGCCTTCACCATTTTACTCAACAGTGTCCAGCCAGTTCTATCCGGTAATAGATAAAGTTAGGGTAAAGAATATAAATGATATCTCGATCATAGGATGTTGCTTGAGTTTCTCAATTATTAAAAGTTATAAAATAATCTCCTGATTATAGGGTGTTGTTTTATTGAGTCTCCCTATTATTAAAAGTTATGAAATGGTCACATGACTATTCATATGTTCCAATCTCTTCATTTTTTGTTAAAAAATAATAATGGTTGAGTAGGACGTTAACGTGTTGATTGAGATATAATAAAATATGATACAAGAATCTCAAACAACTATACAACTAAAATTGTTCTATGATCAGATTTAATCATATCTCAGTCAACAAATTAACGTTCAGTTTAGACGACTATCACTTTTTAGCGGAAAAGGATGAGTATGAAATATAGAAATAATCAGATGACCGTTAATGCCCTATAATCAAGGGATTATTTTGTAACTTTTAATAGTTTAGGGACTCAACAAAATAGTATCCTATAGTCAAGGACCATTTGTATAGTTTACCCATAAATCTATTGCATCATTACTTCATTTTACTCATCTTTAACTTGATAATTCAGGAGTGGCAGTGGGATCTGGATGGCAATCCTACGTCGCATACATAAATCTGGGTTGCTACTATCTCATAGGGGTTCCAATTGGATTCTTGATGGGATGGGGCTTCAACCTTGGTGTAATGGTAGTGACTTCTCCTAATTTTTTAGGATTTCTTGTTCTATGGTTTCGCTTTGATTAGTCCTTCTAATAGAGATTTTCTATATATATATATATACGGGCTTGAATTCGAAATCTTATTTAAACGATATCGAGGTGTTTACCATTTTTGTTGGTTAGGATTTTTGTTTTGGGAAACTCAAATAGGCTGTAATGTAATGTTTTGGTAGGGAATTTGGGCTGGAATGATCTTCGGAGGGACAGCAGTTCAGACAGTGATACTGGCTATCATTACCATGCGCTGTGATTGGGACAAAGAGGTCTGACCTTTCTATTATCTTGTCTTGGTAACCAGGGATGAATCGAGTTTCGATGTTTCCGTTGTATCTTTTATTAATGATCTAATTTTGTAGTTTCGTGTTCTTGACATAAAATCACGTGTCCGTTTCTGTTGGTTACTCGTCTGAATCTTTGGTTTTGTTGGGGAATTTTCAGGCTGAGAAAGCAAGCATGCACGTGCAGAAGTGGTCGGAGACGATGTAGCTATTGTTCAACACATGCAAGGATATATAATAGAAGTATTATAGTGATCCGAATGGCGTTTTGCCTGCTAAACTATAGTATAATGTCTGCAAATTGTTGTTTCCCTGCAGGTGCAATCTTATTTGTAATTCTCTTTCGTTTTGGAATGAAAATGCAAAAAAATTGTGGTGCAAAGTGTAAATTGTGGTCCATGTGGAGCATTTCCTGACGTGTTTCTTTCTTTGAGAAGGTATATTATATTTCATTTGGGCTAAATGAATGCCACTGCATTAAGACAAGCGCACCCACAAAAGTCTAATATCAAATCATTTTATGACATTCCTTCGATTAAGGGAGACAAGTATTATACATCCGAAAACTACACCAAACTTCCACTAAGAAAGATCCTCGGAGATACCACACCATATCAGGAACCATCCTACAACAAACTACACCAAACACTCATAGTCTATATATATATATATATATATGTAATATGAGCTACAGATGTCACATCAATTCAACTGACATTTGCTGAACTTATATGCTTAAAATTTTTGTTTCATTTAATGATTTCCCTTTTTACTTAAAAAACTTTTTTCTTAATCATATAAATTTATAAAATATTGTTTGATTATTGAAAACTAATATGATTTCAGTCAACAATTAGGCAATTCAGTTTTGTTTCATATCCAAATACAACTGCCTAATACCGTTTGATTTTAAACCATTTAAAATATAACAATTATACTATTACTCATAAATACGATTAATACTAAAATTAGACAAAACTAAAGAAAATAACCCTAATTAATATTACAAACCCTTAAAATAAATATGATAAAGCAACCCAACATATATAATGTACATGCCACTAATAAGTCAAAGTTATGATGTCTTACTGATATTGTCGCTAGGTTTGATTTTGCATAAGATACTGGCAAGCTCTTCAATGCACAATCTCTACTTTATTCGAACCTACGTATGAAAATCATCAAGCGCTAAATAAAACTTAGTGAGACAGAAATATAACTAAAACGTAAAATCCATAAAATATAAGTAATAAACTGTAATTTAAAATAGAAACATTAAAACTTCAAACCCAACTAGTCAAGCCGTTTTTCATTTTGAAAACTTAAAAAATCATAATCTCACGATTTTATCAAAAATCATGTAAATCAACATCGAATATCATAAATAACTTTTTTCTATTCGTTCGAACATATTTCAAAACTTTCTTTTCAATTCTATGTTCCTTTCTCTCATATACTGTCATAACTTTCACATTTACTATTATAACCCAATGTATATGCAAGAGAATATAAGGTAAGTGAGTTTAAGGTGCGCAATAGGCACAACACGGTGCCAAATCATAACTGAAACTGCGATATGATACACTTTAGTGTAATTATAACTTGAGCACCAACAGTGCGAAACATTGGTATACGAATGTACCAAAGCTGAACTGATAACTGAAAAGTACTCACTAAATGGCATGTCAAATGTACCTTTGACTCTCAATGCAACATATTATGGACTTATATGTATCATCATAGAATCATTTATTAATCTATGTTTGATAACTGTAAAACATATGATATCTATAAATATATGATAACTAAAAATCATCTGATAACTGTAAACATTTAGGATTCATCATCATAAATATCATACTTGGACATTTCATACTCAAAATCATTCATAAAACATGATGAAAAATATTATAGAAATATTTCATATTGAAAATTTATAAATCATACTGGAAAATAAAATGAGGTTGACTTATCGAAAGTGGTCCTCGACTATAATAATCAAATAAATAAAGTGCACATACTTTAACACTTTATTTTATTTTTTAATCAAAATATAAGTCTCACTAAGTTTTAGATTTAAATCATTTGCCTTCCACTACTTTCAGTACACAATTTATCAAAATTCCATATTTTGGTAGTTTGCATTACCTTAAAACAAATATTATTATGTATTAATTTATATACTGAAAAATTATTATGTTTGCACCAATGAAAACTAGACTCGAATATGAATCTAACTATATAAGGCACTCCGTCTAGTTCCACTTATACAATGTATAGCGAATTTTCAAAGTTGACTGACATAAGTTGTTTCGTGTAGAATCTGCTGCCCTATTTTCTGACCTATCACCGATTAAAATTCATATCATTTTATATACTCATCGAAATCAGTTTCAGTTTGTGCTAAATAAAACTATATTGATATAAGAATTCAATGATATAATATGTTGAAAACATTTTGATATTTCGATATAACAAATTAAGTTAAATGAATTTTAAGATTTTCCAAAAAGATTTTCTAAGTATATTCGATATAATTATTCGAATATCAAAATATTACTCCAAATCTTTCAAATGTCATTTTTAATCATTACTCAAGTGTAAAATTAAGTTTTAATCTTAAAATAATTTCAAAACAATTTTACAAAATATTTCGAACCATTTCAAAGCCAAAAATTTCAGATTTCTCAGAGGGAACCGATTCCCCCCAAGGGGGTACCGATTCCCCCATGAATGGTTTGGCTCCGAGAAAAACAGAATGCTCGGAGGGAACCGATTCCCCCCCAAGGGGGTATCGATTCCCTGATAGGGAAGCGGTGGCGGGTTAATGAACGTTGCTCTTGTTGAAGAATCAAACCTAGAAAGCTTTAGACTCGATTAAAAACAAAGGGGATGAATAGGGGAAGGTGGCAGCAGTAACTAGGATTCTTTAGGGTTTCTTCAAGGCAATAAGATTAGAACAAAATAAACAAAAGATAAAGAAATTGAAAATAAAATAAGATAAGATAATAAAGAAATCAAAAGATCTCCCTTACGAAGGTGGACGGTAAAGATGATTGATGGTGCAGATCAATTTGTGGAAAAATAGATGGATAAGTGTCCTATCGAACCCTCCAAGTCGCAATGAAAAGGAAAACTCGATAAATGGCTCTAACCAACCCTCATAGTCGCGATGAAAAGGCAAATTGGAGTGTGAAGATTAATCTCCCTCACAAGAACTTGAAAGAACTCCAGGAGAAGAAGCTTCGAAGGCACAAGGCAATCAACACTTGCAAAAACGAACTCTCGTTGTATTATTAATCAAAGAAACGATTTACAAAGTTGAATGAAGCCTCCTTTATATAGGGGCTGAATTCTAAAGGTCCTAAATAACTAAAGAATAAAATATTAATAACTAAACATGTTTTAACTCTAATTCCTAATAAAATATAATAACTAAAAATATGTTTTAACCCAACCTTAATTCCTATAAAATAATTCTGATCCTAAAAGATTAATCATCCTATATTAAATTATATTACAAATAATCAATATAAATATTGAAAATTCGTAATATTTACAAAATAACGTATTAATCCCGTATAGGATTTCCTGCATGCACCGTCTTCAGTAAAATGGTCATATCTTGAGTTCCCGATATCGGATTTATGCGGTTCAATAACCGTTGGAAAGATAAGAGATAGACGGTTGTATCTCTAGAAGACATGTCGACCGGATAACAACTGGATCCCCTTCAAAAAGTTGTTACAAATATGCTACTATTAGACCCTTACGGATGAATGCCTGAACTGCGATTTGAAGCTTGTCTTTAAGAAGTTTTGGCCGGCCTCGTGTGACAGGGCCAAGTGGTATAGTAAATTCATCATCCTTAGCTTTAGGGCATGTGGTGCATGTATCATCTCCCCCTTCTCTAAAAGGATTCGTCCACGAATCTAAAATATCAAAAGGAGGTAAGTCGGAAACATTAAAGGATGCACTCACGTTATACTCACCGGGAAGATCAATGCGGTAGGCGTTGTCATTGATTCGTTCAAGGAATTGGAATGGGCCATCGCCTCGTAGGTCTATCTTGGATTTACTTTGTGTCGGGAACCTTTCTTTTCTCATGTGAACCCATACCCAATCTCCTGGTTCAAAGGTGACATGTCGTCGGCCCTTGTTAACTCGGTTTGCGATTGCCTCATAGGTTTTCTCCATCTTGAGTTGGCTTTGGCGTGATGTATTTGACAAGGGCAGCCTTCTTTTCACCATCTAAACTGACAACCTGATCTAAAGGTAAGGGAATAAGATCCAAAGTAGTTAATGGGTTAAAACCATAAACTATTTCGAATGGAGAATAACCTGTTGTGGAGTGAATGAATCGATTATAAGCAAACTCAACAAAAGGTAAACATTCTTCCCAATTACGGGTATTCTTACCTACCACAGTTCTTAGCAAAGATCCTAGAATCCGATTTATTACTTCGGTTTATCCATCGGTTTGAGGACGACAAGAAGTGGAATAGAGAAGTTTTGTGCCAATCTTACCCCACAATACCTTCCAAAAGTGGCTTATAAACTTAGTGTCACGATCGGACACAATGGTGCGAGGAATGCCATGAAGGCGCACTATTTCTCGAAAGAATAAATCAGCAATATGTGTGGCATCGTCCATTTTATGGCAAGGAATGAAGTGTGCCATATTTGAGAATCTGTCCACAACGACAAAAATACTATCTCGTCCTTTCTTAGTGCGGGGTAAGCCAAGTATAAAATCCATCGATAAATCGATCCAAGGAGAAGAAAGAATTGGTAAAGGCGTGTACAAACCATTAGGATTACCTTTGACTTTGCTTGTTTGCACGTGATGCATGATGCACAAATATTTTCCATTGTTTTATGCATATGCGGCCAAAAAAAGTGTTCCATGACCATATCAAGTGTTTTGTGAATACCGAAGTGTCCCATAAGTACTCCGGCATGTGACTCGTGAACCAAGAACTCTCGCAAAGAGCCTTGTGGTATACATACCTGTTCATGCGAAAAAGAAAGCCATCTACAAGATAAAACTGTTAAAAACACCTTTTACACCATTGTTTATAATCTCGAAATCTGGATCGTTAGGATAAAGTTCTTTGATATGTGTAAACTCAGAACAGTATGCATTCGAGTGATAAGTGTGTATCATCGAGATAATGCATCAGCTATAATGTTATCTTTCCCTTGTTTGTATTGATGATGTAAGGAAAAGATTCAATGAACTCAACCCATCGAGCATGTCGTTTGTTTAACTTACCTTGTCCATTTAACCATTTGAGTGATTCATGGTCCGTGTGAATGACAAACTCTTTAGGGAGAAGATAATGTTGCCACACTTCGAGTGCTCGGACGAGTGCAAGAAGT